TTGTCTGGTTACATTTCTTTATTTTCCCCTTCTTTTTAATCTTCTCTAGTCCCTTAATTAATTTAATTCCCCCCTTTTTTTTCTGTTTGATTTCCCACCCCACCCCTTACCCTGCCCTTTGGGAAGATTCTCCCTGTACCTGTGAGCGCTGCCTGTGCATAATCCTCCTGGGCTTGCCTTTTCCAATAGGGAGAGAGCCCCCATTAGGGGCTTTCTTTTGCAAAAAGTTTTTCCCCATTTTCGCCTGTTTAATTGTCAGGCTAGCCAGGGCTGCTCCTAGCTTATCTGGAATCACTTTCATTTATAGTATCCCCATAGGTTGGCTTTATTTTGGGTGTGTGCAGTGCTGTTGGCCAAATTTTAATCTAGCCTTGGGCGGGAGCACTATTTTGAGTTCCTTTAATATTGCAATGAGACAAAAAAGGCAGAGAGCAGAAGCAGGGAGGCCATCACGGCCTGCACATATCATTCAAGCCTAAGCCTGCTACAGTTAGCAGTACAGTGAATTGTTAAGTTTCTGTAACATGTGACTCATTCTCTCTATAAGAATGTATCTGTTGTTTGCAGGCTCACTTGTTGCTAATGTATAGCTTAGGCAGACAGAGTGGAGCCAGAGGCTCTCTGTGCCTCCAATGAGCACTCTTTGTATGCTCTTTAACTATGCTGTTTCTGAACAAGTTTATTTTCTTCAAGTTTGTTTTTCCCTGATAGTGGCGACTGCCATTTTAGAGACAAGCCATTGTGGCTTAGTGGCTAGAGTACAGGACTAGGACCTGGGAGACAGGGTTCATATCCCTCACTTAGCCATTGTTATAACAAGGCAAAACAAGCTGCTCCTTTTGGACTATTTTGTTGCTGGGTAGTTTGGCCCATTTGTGATATTGCTCCCAAAAAGAACTTTGGGTTTCTTGAGGAGGTGCTTCCCTCTAAAGGGCAAGCAGGGGTACCTGGACATGCGGTGGGCTGCCTCGAGTTTGTTATCTCATTGGAAACATTTATGTCTGGCCTAGCAGGTGATCCTAGGGCTTGGCCCGCTTGGCCCTAGAATTTGATGGCCTCTGGCAGCGTTTCTGGCCTGAATAGCGTCCCCATGTGGTGCACAAAGCATTGGTTTCACCTGTTCCTCACATTGTTTAGGTTTTTCTTTTCGCAGACTATGACAGGGCCTTTGCAGATGCCTCCAGAGCTTGCCTCTCCTGCAGAGGATGACTTGTTGATGCCCCAGGTGCCTTCTTCAGGAAGGAGGCGTCTTCAGAGGCAGGAAAAAGCATAGCAGGGATGATGCTTACACCTCCTTGCAGGTAAATCATCACTGGGCTCTGATGATGATTCAGACATCACCTTGGACCTCTCCAGGGGTCAGGGTGAGGCTGTTCCAGGTCTTTAGGGAGCATCCTGGATAGCTCAGCTGGTCAGCGTATGGTGCCGGTAATGCCTAGGTTGCAGGATTGGTCCCTGTATGGGACAGCTGCATGCTCCCTCATCACTTTACCCGGACACTGAGGTCCAGTGCCGAGGGCCTTTCTGGTGGTTCCCTCACTGTGAGAAGCCAAGTTACAGGGAACCAGGTGGAGGGCTTTCTCGGAAGTGGCACCTGCCCTGTGGTACACCCTCCCACCAGATGTCTACTACCAGACTTTTAGAAGACATCTAAGGCAGCCCTGTTTAGGGAAGCTTTTAATGTTTGATGCATTACTGTATTTTAATATTTTGTTGGAAGCTGCCCAGAGTGGCTGGGGAAGCCCAGCCAGATGGGCGGGGTACAAATAGATGATGATGATGATGATGATGATATTGTGGGAGAGTGGACTAGATGATCCTAGGAGTCCCTTCCAACCCCACTATTCTATAAGTGGTAATTCACTATGATGGGAATGTTAGACGCAGGGCTGCCATCATCCCCTTAGCTCGCTAGGATCGCAGGGACGGGGACATGTGGACCACTTGCGCAGCTCCACATTTCAAATGGAAATTCCCTGAGCAATAGAACCTGAAGCTGGTATGCAGGAAGCTGGCCCGGTGGCAGCTTTGTTGGGACTTCTTTAGGGTCTCTGGCCAGTGTTGGCCCTGTAAATTTACACATCATGGTGGCAACACAAGGCAGGGCTTCTTGCCCAAGCGGGGCTGGCAAGCAATAACTCAATACCTCTCGCCCATATTTCCATAAAAATATCTCCCTTTAAAGCCTGGCTAAAAGGTTATCTAGATGCGTCAGTAGCTTTGTGCTTGTGGGAAGGGTTTTTCTCCAAGGTTTCGGGATTCCTCTGGCTTTTCAGCCAGTGGCTCAGAATACAGCAACTCAAAAGTCAGTTAGAGTCTGTGGTAGCCAGAAAGTCTGTGGTAGCCAGAAAGAAGGTTAGGAAGCAGCTTGCATTGGGACGTATGGTGGGATCCCCTTGATTCTCCTTCTAGTCCCGATTTTCATTTATCCCCATTGGGGATCGTCCCTAAGAAAGCCCCATATAATTCCATCTGATCCATATTTATCGCACCCCAAAGGCACCTCAGTGAATGATGCTATCCCTCCGGAATTGTTCCGTGAAATATGCATCTTTGGATCAGGCAGTTGAGCTTACCAACAAATTGGAGGAGGTGCCTTGTTGGCATTATGCGATATTGAATCGGCTGTTAGGCTGCTGCCGGTTCACCCTCAAGATTTTAAGTAGTTAGGCTTTAATTGGATGGTCCTTATATGGATAAGGCGATGCCAGTTGGTTGCTCAATAGGCTGTGCAGCACTTGAGTCCTTTAGCGCCTTTCTGGATTGAACATTGCGAGTCAAGACTCGTTTAACTGGGGGTATCGTTATGTGGATTATTTTACTGGCTGGTTCATGTGACACCAGCCTCTGCTTAGCTTACTAGATGCCCCTTTATTCCCTGAGGAGCTGGGTGTTCTGTTGGCAGTGGAGGACAGTGGCTCCTACTGCCCCTTTTAATGTATTTGGGGGCTAGCTGGATACCGTTGCTCAAACATCTGCTTGCCTGTGGAAAAGCTGTTTGCCTTGAAGGATGTTATTCTTGTAATACTTCCTCTGAGGCAAGTGTTGCTTTGTCAGATCCTATCATTCCTAGGTCAGTTAAATTTTGCATGCAGGGTGGTTGCTCCAGGCTGCCCCTTCCATTCCTGCTTGGCCAGGTGGTCTCATGGCCCGGTGTCCCTTCATCATCATGTACAGTGGCCTTGAGCCTGGCAGGGCAAGGCAATCACATGTAACCTAACTTTCTTGAGTTTTCCTCATTGTAGTGTCAGCGCACATCTGGACTGAGGAGTTTAGGGACCGTCAGGTCTGTCTTGGTCTGATAACCAGGCAGTGTGAGAGTCCTGGCAAAACGGTCTTCATGCTCTGGCAGAGTCTTCGCACTGCTTAAGGTTTAATATTGCGTTTCTGCTCACTTTATTTCGGGATCATCTAATGTTTTTGCTGTGGCTCTATCCCGTTTTTCAGTTGGAGAGCTTCAGATCCTGGGCTCTGGACACCCAGCTATTTTTCTGGAGCTCCTGTGGCACTTGGCGACAATTAATAATTATGAGGAATAGTAGCTTACGTTTCCCCATCCGCTTTCAGGTCTTATGAGAAGGCCTGGACTGATTTCTTAAAATTTAGCTGGTAGTCCTCGGCCATTCAGAGGAACCTGCCCCCATCCTCTGAGCAGGACCTGCAGTAATTCGCCCACCTGCTGCAGATAGGATGCAGTGTTAAAACTATCAGAATTCAGTCCGCTGCAATGTCTGCTAGAGTAAAGCTTTAATTTTCAGAGACCCTTCTAAAAGTGTGTCATGCGCAGGGTCTCGGAAGGTTGGAATAGGCTCTGACCTTCACAGGACAGCAGGCAGGAAGCCGGTCAATCTTTGACCTATGCAGTATCTGCAACAAGTTGAGACTTGTTGGCTGGTTCAAGATCAAGACGAGACTTATTTCAGTATTCCATTGTAATTTTGGTGTACTGAGGGTTGGGGAAATTGTGTTGGAGCCAGCACGGGGCTGAGAGTTTGGAGGCTTATTGCCACAGGACTTTTCCTTATCTGCTTTGGAGCTTGTCATAAGTGTCTGGAGCTCTAAGTCAGACCTAGTGAGCAGGGTTGCCACCATCAGGCTTCCAGTCACAGGTGAGGTGGGCCCTTGCCCTGTTATTGGATACCGGAAATATTTGGCTTTTCGTTCCCCTGAGGGCTGGCTCAATCCTAGTGCACAGAAATGGGTTCCGGTTCGACAGGCATCTAATTGCTCACGTCGTGCGCCAGTTATTGCAGCCTGCGGCTTGCCTACCGCTGAACACGCCTCATTCCTTCCAAATAGGTGCTGCTGCAAAGGCTGCGCATTGGGGCCTGTTAGTAGACAGGATTGTGAATACGGGTCATTGGAAGTCTGACGCTGACAAAGGTTATGTCAGGAAGCATCGCCAATGATGCCTGTGCTGATGCCTGTCTGTTATTCCTTTTTTCATAGGAGCAGCTGTGCGCATTTGGATTGTCGGCCACAGCATCATGCACTGAGCTGGCAAGCACCCTGACGAGTCTGGACTGGGGGCGCCATCTCGGCCTTCCTGCCCATGTTTCTAGCTCCAGTCCGCATCTGGATTGTGGGGCACAGCATCGTTTACTGGGCTGGCATCAGAGCTAGGCAGTCTGGAAGGGGACTGGGTCTTGGCCTCCCGCAGCATGTGCAGGTGTTGTGGATGTCCAGGCGCAGAATGCAGTGGAGCGAATTCATCCCGCTAATTAAGCAGAGGGTGCTTTCGGATGCCCCCCCCCCCATGGCAATTGTGGTTCAGCTGGGGGGGAACGATGTGGCAACTTATGATTGCTTTACTTTGCGCTCCACGATTCAGAGAGACTTGGGTGAATTGGTGACCTTAATACCCACAGTTAAAATATTTTGGTCACAATTGCTGCAAAGGCGCAATTGGCACGGCATTTCTCGACCTGAGGCTGCTGAAAGGGCCAGGAAGCGCATTAATTCTGCAGTGTGTAAGAAGGTGGCGGATTTGGGTGGATTGGTTATTTCCCGCCCGGATATTACCTTCAAGGCTCTGGCCCTTTACCGCAATGATGGAGTACATCTCTCTGTACTGGGGAATGATGTTTGGTTGGATGCGGTAACTGCAAGGTTGAAGGTTGGGTTGGGATTGTGAGTGGTTGGCGGCGAGCGTAAAGGGCTCGATTGGCGGTTAGGCATTGGTTATAAATTGGTGGAGGAGGGGTTAGGATAGGCTGGGCCTGCCCCTCCATGGTTGCTGCGGAAAGGGAATTCCGTTAAAGGAATCCTGGGGCTTGCCATCTTTTCGTCCAATCCCTGGAATGGGACTAGGGCCGGCAAGCCTTCGGGGAGCATGCGGATGAGAATTGAGGGTCTGTGGCCCAGCTCCATTTTTCTCCGACTTGCTTTCCCCCGCACTGTCTTTCGGTGGTGCCCGGAAGTCAGTTCTGTCCCCAGGCGGGGGGACAGATAGTCTTAACCAATGCCTAAACAACCACTCACGGTTTTGTATTTAAATAAAGTTGTGGCCAAAATTATGCCAAAAACCTTAAACAAAAATTAAGTGTGCGTTGTGAGTTATTTGGGGGGTGGCTTGGGGACCTCGACACGCAACAAGCCGGGAACTTGAACACATGACATATGATGACATAGTGTCATCACCCAGTCACTATAAGGAAAAAAGATGACTGTGCCCATGCTGTCTTTTCTCCCCCTACAGTGTCCTGGTAATGAAACTATGGTCCCTTCCAGGCATGGCTTTTGCAGAGCTCTCATGCCCTCATGGTTTCACAAGGCACTACTGTTTCTCCATAGGTATTCGAAATAATGTAGGTGCAGGGCCAATTTTTCTATCACAAACTATGTGACATTTGAAGAAAGATCTGGTATGATCCCACCACAGTGTGGAAGATGCTGGGTGTCATTCTACTGCGCAGTATGTTAGGGCGTGAGTGGTGGAAATGGTCTGACAGAGTGACACCTGTCTCACACCACTTCAGATAGACCAGAGAAAGCTGACTGTCTTCTGAGGAAAGTGAGAATGGCAGATGGTCTTGAAGGAAGTTATGGGGTTAGCCAACATGGCTGAGGTTATAATCAGGACAGAAAGAGTCTGATTTTTTTTACTGGCAAAACAATTAAAGAATTCCAGAATACCAAGGGTGATTAAAAAATAAATAAATCTGTCCTTGTCAGTGATGTGTATGCTTGGCTCTTTGGTTAAGAACAGACTGCTGGATCAGGCCTATCTAGTGCAGCATCCTGCTCTCACAATGGCCTGTGGGAAAACCAGGGAGCAGAACATGCACACAAGTGCCTTCTTCCCTTCCATGGCTTCCAGCAACTGGTATTCAGCAGTATCGCTGCCTCCAACTATGAAGTTAGAGCATAGCCATCATAGCTCATAGCCATCAATAGCCCTCTCCTCCATGAATTTGTCTAATCGTCTTCTAAAGCCATCTAAGCTGGTGGCCATCACTTCCTCCTAGGGAGCAAGTTCCACAATTTTGACTTTGCGCTGCATGAAGAAGTACCTTCTTTAATCTGTCCTAAATCTTCCAACATTCAACTTCAGTTGAAGGATGCCACTGAAGAAGTTACCCCTTCTTTCATTAGCTCATCCCTCAAGCTCACCAAGGTTCTTCATAGGACACTGGTACCAAATAACAACCAATGATAGCTGAGGCAAAAGTCCTCTTCTAGTAGCAGAATATGCACTTCCCTGCCATAGCGCAAAGCAATCCAGTGGTCTTGTAAGTGAGGAGTTCCTCACAACACTTCTTTCATGACCCATTTGTCACGCTCAGTGTGAAGAGGAGGTCTATATCAATACTTACTGATTCAGAAAATTACAGGACAACCACCTTAGCTTCAGACTTTCAAAGTGCCAAAAATGTACCATTTTCGTGTCCATCTTCAAATAACCTTCTGGGGACGGGCAATATTACTCCCATTGTGCAGTGGGTAAACAGTGGTCGAGAGAGAATGGCTGGCCACAAATCACACAATCTCAGTCTATGTAGAGGTCAGACTTGGATTCAGATTCTAAGCAAACATTTTTTTTTTCTATTCAACTACCTGACCCCACTTACCTTGACTCATCCATTCTGTTTGCAAGCCTATGACATGATGCATTGGGAATAATTCTGAGCAGCAATAATGATTTTTTTAAAAAACATTTACCCATCTCACTGTGCAGCACCTTTCTCTGTGGGCTTCTGCACCATGCCCATCCTTTCAGAAAGAGGTCCTAGGTTGCCCCAAGTGTCCCCAATTGCAGGGCGAATGTGACTATGAACAGACCTGTTATGCCTTCAGAATGAAGTACTCCTTGCTAATTTCTCTTCAAGACACCAGCTTAATTGCATTTTAAACAAATGGGCTGCTTTGCTGGCCAACTTTTAAATGAGATAACAGCAATGTTCACTCTCCAGCGGTGATGAGTGCCTTGCAGTAGATTCAAAACTCTGTTCAATAACAGGTTTAATCTCACACCAGCAGATTTACTGCAGAATAAACTGCCACTGAGCTCATAATTAGCAAAACAAAAAAAATCCAGCCTACTAAATATTATTTCCAAAGCAGCAGGCTTTGTTTTTAGTGGGAAATTTCCATCGTGTTCTTCATGTGTTTTATTGATTTTATGTATGATATTGGGAATTCATGCTATGATTTAAGATAATGGCCTTTATCGATCACTTAAGCAGTTGTTTAGCTACCCAGTAACGAAATGATGTTCCATTCATGGAATATGCAATGCAGACAGCAGGGAGACCTCAGTACTTCACATCTTAATGTTTATTTCTTTTTCTCTCTCTCCTACCCCTCCCAAATCATATTCATGGCTGGAAAATGGCAACAGAAAACATTTGTGCTTCAGAAACAATCTTCTCATAATTTTCTTTGTTGTAGCTATTAGTAGCCAATTGTCATTCCCTGAAACCCAGCTCAACAGCTGTTCCAAAGTATATTCTGTTTAGCATGACAACAAATATTAATGAGGTAATTGAAACTATTTAGAAAAAGAAAATGGGAAGTGTTTGTTTCACAGAGCGGGAGGTCATGCCCTTTGCATATTTTCCCCCTAGCAAAAATAAAAGCTACAGTTAGTATCTGGTTGAATTTCAGTCCAAGAGAGTGTTTCACCTGTATCTCTAGGTTGGTTTGTGCAACATGCAAACATATTGGCTAGGTGGATTCTTTTGTAAACAACAACAACAACAGCCCTGCAGATATTACCGTATTTTTCACTCTATAGGATGCACTTTTTCCCCTCCAAAAATTAAGGGGAAATGTGTGTGCATCCTATGGAGCGAATGCAGGCTCCTGGGCTTCAGCGATAGCAACATGAAGCCTCCAAAGCGCAGAGGGAGCGCTCCCTCCGCGCTCCAGAGGCTTCGCGTTGCTTTCGCTCTCCTGGCTTCAGGGATAGCCACCTGAAGCCTTTGGAGCACAGCGGGACCTTGCGCTGCGCTCCAAAGGTTTCAGGTTCCTTTTGCTGAAGCCGGGAGAGCAAGACTCTTCTGGCTTCAGCAGAGAGGGAGAGCTGCACAGCGCCCCTTCAGCGAAGTGGGAGGAGAAATGGAAGGGGCTCCGTTTCTCCTGCCGCTTCACTGAAGGGGCGCTGAGCAGAGGGGGGAGAATTCCCCCCCCCCCGTTCTCCCCCTTCCTATGGTCAGGTAGAGCAAAAAATACGGTATTTCAAAAAATGGTCCTCAGAAAATAGAAAACATCTTAAAATAAACTTCAGAAAGCGGCAAGCGGATTTGGGTTTTGCCAGCATTTAGCAAATGCCCTCTCCATTGAGGTGTCAATGGAAACAAAGGTAACTGTTGTAAAAGAGAGAGAGAAAGAAAACCTGCCATCCATTAGGCCAACTAACAACATAACATATGGGGATGCTGATGTCTGGAAAACTTCAGTGCGTAAATTATTAGGTCATCACAGAAAATACTCAGCTGCAGTGTATATGATTGGGGCAACTCTCTTTAACTATCAGGAATGTTTCGTATGTAGATAAAAGTAAATTAGCAGTTGGGGGAGAATTTTTCCACAAAACGTTCACTTTCCCCTCTCTCCTTTGCTGCCCCTATTGCATATTCATGCATCTGAAAGAATGTGGGAGGACTAAAGTTTGATGGGGAGCAGGTACACGAACACTGGTCCTACCTCAATGTCCCTGCACGTGCCAGGCACACCCTGAAAAATGCAGAATACCTCGGTTTTCGAACAGCATAGTTCTTGAATGTTTTGGAATACCGCAAACCCGGAAGTGACTGTTCCGGTTTGTGAGCTATTTTTTGGAAGTCAACCGTCCAACGTTCCTTCGGCCAATCTGAATCTGCACTTTGGTTTCTGAACATTTTGGCAATCGAACCGACTTCTGGAACGGATTCCATTTGACTTTTAAGGTACGACTGTACCTAATAAGATTTGTATGTGTAGAGAAATTAAGTAGAAGCTTTTCTCCCTCTCCCACAGGGCCATCCAATGAAGTAGAATGCTGTCAGATTCTGGACAGACAAAATACTGTACTTTTTCGCACAGTGCATAGTTCCGTGTCAGATTTGGTCCACCAGCCTGAATGGCTTTAAAACAGGATCAGACAAATTCACAAAGGATGGTTAGCAGCCATGATGGCTATGTTTCACCTCCCGTGTCAGAAACAGTACGTCTCTGAACACCAAGATGCTGGGAACTACAAGTGGAGGGAGTGCTGCTGTATTCATGTCATTTGGGGTCTTCCCATAGGCATCTGGTTGGCCGATGTGAGAACTGGATGCTGAGTTAAACGGGCATTTGTCCTGTTTCGGAAGGGCTCTTTCTGTATTTTTACGTTTACATGTTCAGCTGAGTGAAATGCCTTCCAAGCCTGCAACACACCTCCACGTTGGGTGATGGAAGCATGTGCATCAATGCTACATGATGATGTTGCAGTGTCACAAAATCAGTCAGAGTGGAGATAATGCCTCCATCTCTCACTTAGAGCATTCAAGGGAGGGGAAGAGGATAACCACCGGGATGAAAGGGAAAACAAATTAAGGCAGGCATAGGCAAGCTCAGCCCTCCAGATGTTTTGGGACTACAACTCCCATAATCCCTAGCTAACAGGACCAGTGGTCAGGGATGGTGGGAGTTGCAGTCCCAAAACATCTGGAGGGCTGAGCTTGCCTATGCCTGAATTAAGGCTTCCACATGGGGAAAGCATTATTGTGTAAAAAAAAGATGCAAGGAATAGATGCGGACCGTGAGGGGACTTTTTGATCCAGCGATGTCACTTGAGGCCCAAGTGACCTCGGGATCCAGGTTTGCCTATTTCCAGCTGTGGCTCATTCTTTAGCTATGGGCCTTTCTGGATACAGTTTGGCTACAGTGATCCATCCTTTGCTATCCTCCAGATTGGATTGTGGTATTGCACTCTACATGGGGCTGCCCTTAAATATGGTTTGGAAGGAGCAGCTGGTGCAGAATGTAGCAGCCAGGGTGCTCATGAGTGTCTCTGACTAGACTCCTATCATGTCAGTCCTAAAAGATCTGAACAGTTGACCAGT